CGTGTACACTTTGCTCGATCGGAAGAAGAGCATCCTGAGCGACGCATTGCACTAGTCGCAATGAAATAGGAGCGGTAGAACATCGATATTGCGGCGCTCAGCGAGACCCGGCTCGCTGACTAAGGCAAGTTGCATAAATATGGTGCTGGGTGGGCAACACCACCACAGCATACCGTGCACATGGGGTCGGATTTGCAATATCCGATCGCCCCCATGGCCAGCTCGTGGGTGAACTAACTAGCAACAGCACGTGACTGATGAATATTTGTCATCTTTATCACCACGCACGGTCCGAGCATGCGTTATCCTGATGACACAATGGATCAATCCGGCACTCTGCTACCCCCCGTGAAACGGTCTGCTGGGTCATTACAACGCACGCGTTGGACGGGATGCATCTGTGTGGAAAGATGCCATCGGTTCGCATGGCATTGGTTCAGCGAATGCGAACGGTGACAGGCTGCTCTCACTGTGCGCCATTCACGGACTGACGATCACAAACACTCGGTTTGCACTGAGTGCGAGTGATATAGCAACTTGGACGCACCCACGGAGTGGTCACGCTCACTTGCTCGACTATGTCATCGAGCGTCAGCGTGAAATGCGTGAAGTGCAAAAGACACGTGCACTGCGTGGAGCTGAGTGTGGCACTGATCACAAATTGGTACACACCAAACTGTACATATATTTTCGTAAATCTATGTATGCACAACCGCCGTGAATCGGCGTAAATTTAACATTCGCTCTCTCGGTACTGTGGCCAAACGTACTGAGCTGGAGAAGGCGATGGCCGCACGCCTGTGTGATGTGGAAGGCATAGCCACAGTGAGCGATCTGTGGCACCACATTCGCGACCAGGTGACAGCTGCTGCCGAGGAGACCATCAGGCGCACAAACTGTAAGCTGCCTGATTGGTTTGATGACAACAATGCGACGATCGACGCATTAGTGGATGAGGAGAATGCAGCATTTGCTGCACATGCCTCAGACCCCAGTGACTTGAGGAAGAAGAGTCAGTTTCGCAAACCTCCACGGCGACTGACCCGAGAGATCCGTCGCATAAAAAATGCTTGGTGGACGGAGAAGGTGAAGCAGATGGAACGCTACAGCGAACGCCGCCAACACAAGGAATCCTTTGACTCCTTGAAGGCGGTGCATGGAATGAGATTGGAGCCGCTGAGTACGCTGATCGATGGTAGTTCAGGCGCTACCTGCACGCAGACTGTAGACATAATGCAGATCTGGCGAAGAGACTTTGACTGTCTCTTGAACAACCGTTCAGAGATCGACTGGAATACATTGAACGGCCTGAAGCAGCACGATGTGAAGACGAGTCTGGAGGACAAGCCGACACTGGATGAAACGCAGAAAGCACTTGTTCAGCAGCAAAACGATAAGAGTGCTGGTGGAGACGGGATCCCGCCTGAAGTATTGAAACAAGGCGGACCCGCGTTGTTGACTGCGCTGCACCACTTGGTGTAACGTGTATGGATTGAGGAGGGATGGCTCATGAGTTGAAGGGCGTCCTTGTGCTATCACTGTACAAGGGAGCAAGCAACATTGTACGAATAACCGTTGTATCAACTTGCTGTTGCCCGAATCCTGCTCAAGCGCCTCGTCATTAGGTTGTGGAACCTAACGTGGCGGAAGGGCAGTGTAAATTCCGTTCGGATCGCAGCACTATCGATATGGTGTTTGCAGCTCGTCAGTTGCAGGAGAAGTGCCGAGAACGACACCAGCCGTTGTACTCGCTGTTTGTTGATTTCACCAACGCATTTGATACGGTGAACCGCGAGGCATTCTGACTGGTGTGGGGTAAGTTTGGTTAGCCGAGCCAGTTTGTAAGTTTAATTGAATGTCTGCACAGTGGTATGCGAGCGAGGGTGCAGCTGAGTGGACAGACCACGGATGAGTTTGCAGTTGTCACTGGTGTGAAGCAAGACTGTGTCTTAGCTCCTGCCCTGTTTAATATATATCTTCATGCAATGTTGTCTTGTGTTTTTGATGTGGATTGTGCTTACGGTGTTCGTGTGAAACACCGGACTGATGGTGGGTTGCTGAACATCCGTCGTTTCGGTGCGAGAAGCCCAGTCTGTGAGACAGCTATCCGTATCTTGCAATTCGCTGACGAACGTGTGTTGTATGCACACAGCGCGGATGAGGTGCAGTACATGACTAATGCTCTGGCTTCGACAGCGAGCAAATTCGGGCTGAGCAAGACTCTGTCTTTTCCAGCCTCCACCCCGAATGGAATCCGCGCGCCTGTCCCAAATCCAGATTGACGAGGAAGTGTTGGAAACCACTTCGAGATATGGCTACTTCAGTAGCGTAATAATAGCCGACCAGCAGATGACGTGCGAGCTGCGCAGCCGCGTTTCGAAGGCGGTTGCTGCTTTTGGCAAGCTGGAATGCCGTGTGTGGAACAACCATCAGCTCACTTTTGGGATGAAAGATGCTGGTATATAAGTCTAGGATTCTGTCCGTTCTTCTATAAGGCAACGAAACCTGGACACTTTATCGGAAGGATGTCCAATATCTGGAGCCCTTCCATCAGCAGTGTCTGTGCCGTATTATGCGCATCGGCTGGAATGACCGAATTGCGGACACGAAAATGCTCCGACGCAGTGGCATGTATGCAGTGAACTGCATAATTCTCCTGAGGCACCTGAGATGGTTCGGGCATATTCACCGCATGGATTTGACCCGGATACCGAAAGAGCTGGTTTATGGCCAACCGAGTGCAAGGAAACGGTACGCGGGAAAACCGAAGTTACATTAACAGGACATGATCAAGTGAGCCTATCACGTTCTAATCTTGATTGTAGATCATGGGAATCGAAGGCGGTTGATCGGCGTGCATGGCGCGATCCGACCACGAAGACAGTTTCCGAGGTGCAAGAGAAAGCCCTCGTGCATACAGAGAAGAAGCGGCAGTTGCGGAAGCGACAGGCGCTGATGGGCTGTACCCCATCGACATCGAGCGCATGGTGGCGAGCGCCTGAGTCAGGCAGGCCTAGTGAGCCACCAGGGAGGATACTCAGAACCAGCATCGAAACAACGACGGGTCCTGCAATGAATATAGGCAGAACCGGCGTAGAATTGGTAGATAAGCTGCATGCGCTTCCAATTAATTTACTAAACGCCTGCTTGTGTGCTGAATTTCTTTATTTCAGGTGGTTGGTTTGCTACCTTGTTTTAGTGTTATGTTGTTACTTTTTATGTGTATCTGGATAATCTACCAAATTGAACATTTTGTTTAAACTAAAGTGGATTAAATTCGCTTATTTTTCCCTTGTTCCCTTTTTGTGCTGTCCTGAATCTGGCAAGGCTAGTTTGATAAGCCATTTATTCCATATCCTAATTTAGCTGCATAACCTTAGGGTGTATTCGATCTATATTACACGACATTTCATTTCATGCGAATGGCTATTGCTTGACAACATCGGCGTGGCTGCGCTTGATGTGTATGTTGACAAGGGGTTTACCTGTCTATTACCCACTGCCTCGTACATACTGGCTCCAGGAAACAGTTGGTCGTTGCTGGAGGGGACGGGATGCACGGTTCTTGTGGCCGTGTTAGGATCAAAGAGTGGTTCCATACACTCAGTGTGGAGCGGACTAAAGTCCAGCCACCTCCTTGTATGCTCCCGATTCCCAAATACAGCGTGCATGTGTTTGTCGGTGTGGCCGGCTCCGTTGATGAAACGTGTCTCCCATCCACATACCTCCCGGTCTCATTCCTTCGGGTTTACACTGGATATGGGGTGTGTGGATGGAGCTGTGGGTGGTGCAGCGCAAGCTATCCATGGTCCCCCTGTAGGCGCAGGCGTCCTGTGGCTTGCCACAGTGACAGGCAAATCCGAAACCGGATGGCGGCAACCATGCGCATCTAAAACAACTATATTGTTCACTCGGAACGCCGATGATTCATAGACTATAGGTGTTAACGAATAGTGTTGAATGAAACAGCCATGCAGAAAACATATACGAACGCAAAAAGAAACATTGCGCGAATTTACAGTGCAGTGTATGTCAGAGGAGCCATCTGCCCTGTCTACCCACTGAAAAATGTGACCTGCCACAAAGATAAGCCACAAGAATGTGATCTGGTTGAAACCATTATCCGTACGACCATTACCTGTCCAAACAACCACGTGCCCCTGTAGATCTACAGAGTAAGATGGGATTTAACGCCCGCAATGGACAGAAAACGAAGCGAAGAAGGAGCAATGTGCCGCAAGTTTGATAGTAGTACTCTAATAATCACCGTGAGCGCGTTGCATGTAACAATGATACAACACAGGGGTGGTATTCATCAAAACTAACGACTAACTGGTCATCTAAAAGGGCGCAAGTATTAAAGTGCTTTTCATGCGGACACGAGATGAAAAATAACCAGCAAGAAGCCAATCAAAGTGCGAGCATGACCCGTAGCACATACACACAACCTGTCATAAAGTTTGCAATCACAATCCGTGGGTCAAGACTAAGTCCCGCAAATCGCAGACAGGCAGGTGTCCGCAAACTCAATCCCTTTTGATTGCGGTCGAGAGTCAAGTCTCGGCTATAAATGTGACGCTCATATCACGTGCCAAGTGTGATCACGCAAAGAGCACCTAAACTGAATTCGCAGGAAACCAAAGCGTACCAATGACCTTCAAGATGAAGAAAAATAAAGATAACGCACAAAGGATGTAATAATGAGACTGCGGATCTGTGTGCAATTCAGACGAATAACCGGAGACCTGTCCGAGTACGGAAAACAACCTCGGCTGGCAATGATTAAAGGATTCACGTAGGCAAGTAAACACCTACTGAGTGCCACTAAATATGCAATATGAACAATAATAACCAGGATAATACTCGTTGTCCTGAAATGCATTGTGTGGAGGTAGAAAGTAAGAATGACGGTGGTAATGAAGAGAGAACGAATAAACAGACGAAAGAAGTTAGGAGGAGTGAGACTAAAGTGAACATCCGGTAGAGCAGGAAGAACAGATATAAGGAGTACCAATGCGTCAGCTGTGTTCCGATAGCCTGAGATACTGGCGTAGTTGATTCGTTGAGACAAAAAAAACCGGTTGTCTGAAGGAGAGCGTAGGGATAGACTGCATATCCAATAATACAAAGAGATGGGGAGAAAGGAATTTAGGGGAAAATGAGAGAAGCAGAAATGCATAGCTGCTCTAGCGGGGCACATGCAGTTACATGGTACAAAGTAATCACATTAGGCAAGGGTGAAGCGGAGCAAAGGTTTACACAGGCAAATCACCGAACTGATTGTTCCGTGTTGATATCAGTGGACTTCAGAAGAATACGCTTGAGCACGGTTCTCCAATAAAGCTGGGTCGTTCATGGCAACATCCCGGTGAAGATGCTCAAGAGAAAAGTCTGCTAATCCTGTAAAGTGAGTTAAAACGGTAAGAAAAATGCGTAGTAGGTCACGGTGGAAACATGTACAGCGGGACAATGTTTGTAAAGGGATAGCACACATATTCAGTCATTTCGTTTCGCATAAAACTAATTAGGTGAAATTGTAAAAAGCGACATACATGCGATTAAATTACCCGAATGCTAGCTCTGGGCCTATCGAATCCTATGTAGTGGATATATGAAACATGGTCTGAAACCCCAAAAACAAACCGTTTAAATCAAACCGACCGATTGCTATTAAGAAAACGCGACAGCGTAGTTTGCTTTGAAATGCCAAGTTGAGGCACAGAAGTCTGCGCTAGAAATAAAAGTAGCTCAAAACGTTGCGGGTAAGGTCGGTCACACCACTAAATCCCACAGGGCAGTAATCGACAGTTGTCACCAACAAACATAAGGTCAATCTCAACGGGAGAATTCGAGATGGTAGTCATCATTGTAAATCTACACATCCCCGTTAACTGACAAATGAATGATTGTGATAGACGGAAAATGTGTGAATTGGAAAACACTGTCCGACCGACTAGAGTGTCAGAGTGATTTTCTAAGAGCAAACTGCCGTTTAAGTGTTCGTCAAACGTGAGCCACAGCGGGTTGCATGCGATTCATAGTGGATCGCGGATGGTAACAATGACTATGGATTCAGCTTCGCAAAGTGCCGATAAAACCAGATGCAGTCTAAGTACGATAACAGAGTGAAGTGAATGGACCGACAAATCTGTGGTTATAAAAAACAGGTAAGTAGCAGAACAGAAAGACAGCCTTAGCCCTCAGAAGTCACAAGATGAATGTGACCAATGCTAACTAGCCTAGTAGTGTCTTGAAATAAGGACGAAATAAGAGATCATCATAAGTGCGAAAGACACTCTAGATTGCTGTAACAATCTGCTTGAAACAAACGAAGTAAGGCAACGCCGGTCCTGTAAGAAGTCGGTAGAAAGTGTAGAATATACAATATGGTGGAGTAGATGACGCTTGGTTTTCCTCAGTAAATTGCGGTTGCATAGTGATTCATGAACGACAGTATTCTCCCATACGCTATGATTACGTTCTAGAGGCAAGGAACTATTGAAATCAGTATAGAAAATCAGCAATACAAGACAAAAACGAGATCGCGAGTCTGTTATCATAAGCGTTCGGGAGATATTAGGTTCATTAAGTAGGGATCAACATGTCGAAACTTGTCCAATGCTCGGCTTGCACACCCCATGACGTCGATGATGGGGAGTTTTGATTAACCCAGTGTAACTCTGGTGACGCCGTCATTACCAGCCCAACAATCCATTAGGTGGCAACCGGGTCAAACTCAGACCAGTCAAGGGATGAGACCCGGGTGGACCAAGGTAAGTTGTATCGAAGAGTTCGCTGAGAGACTGATCTCAAGGTGTGCTAGCTGTACGGAGGCTGAAAAAAGTCATCATGACACAACTTATATTCACACACAATCTATTCCAACACTCACCACATAACTGCCCCCACCAGTACTTATTTGAGATTTCAAGCTCATTTCAAACTTCATCGAATGATTGTATTGCGCAATAACCCCACTTTGTGGAAAGAGGTAGAGATAACGTGTTGTAATGCGAACATAATCCCAGAAGGATATATATATATATATATATAGGGTATGGCGGGAGAGCCTATGGTGCATTGAGGCTGGTGGTGGCTAGATCCTGACAGATGGTCTACCCACTGCTGCTATTGTTGTGCCATTTGCTCATGTCCTGGGTGCCTCCACGTGGCGACCGCTGGGTGGGAGTTGGGGCACGCCTTTCTCCCTGCTAAGATCCAGGACACCAATCCGCATGAGTCAGGGAAATGACCAGGTGCTAGATCCGCTGCCTTTCGGGTGTACATCTAATCGAAGGCTTTGGCTGAGGACCCGAGTCGTTCTCCTGTCAGATGTGGGCGCTCTGGCAGTATCCTAGTCCATCCTCTTCGGAGGTTAGGAAGTGGTCGATGGCCTTCTTCCCGTAAAACCTAGCCATGGGAGACAACAGGTCTACGGGTTATAAGCTATCAGCTCGATTGGCGTAGAGCACGAGCGCCACGCATTGTCTCTGACGGTGGGAGGGCACCTCCGGTTTGCTACTGCCCGCCTCAAGCCAGGTAGACACTGGGCAAATTGGTGTAAACCCGCCAAAAACCCACCTGCGTCTGGCCGTGGTCGTAGGTGTATCCTATTACGGTCGCAAAACATATATAAACCGTTCCAGTACCTCCAAGGCTGCGTGTGACGGCCGTCAAGCAGATCCCCATCTGTCTCTGCAATCACATTCCCGAGCTGGATCTGCTCCCCACTGCCTTGTGGGTCAGGCTATTGAGCCAAGGGCTCCGGGCGGAGTCCCTCAAGCAAACCTCCAAACCACCCACTGCCTTGTGGGTCAGACTATTGAGCCAAAGGCTCCGGGTGGAGTCCCTCAAGCAAAGATCCGAAGCACAACCACTGCCCCACATACGACTGTCCACCAATGCAATCGCATGCCTGCGCGCAAAGCACTCAGCATCTGGCGCTGGAACGTGCGCACACTACTGGACCGGAACTCCAGCGAGCGCCCGGAGCGACGCACTGCACTCGTCGTGATGGAACTGGCGCGTTACCACAACAATATTGTGGCGCACAGTGAAACCCGACCAGCTGAGCAAGGTACGTTGCATGAAGCAGATGCTGGCTACACATTCTATTCGGTGGTCAACGCCGCCTCAGCACCACGTGATCATGGGGTTGGATTTGCATTATCCGATCGCCTCCATGGCCAGCTCATGGGTGAACCAACGGGCATCAGCGCCACTGATGACTGTTTGCCTACCACTCGGAAGAGGTAAGTTTGCTACTTTTATAAGCACGTACGGTCCGACCATGTGTTATCCCGATGACACACGTGATCAATTATGCACTCAGCTATCCTCCGTGATACGCTCTGTGCCGAGGAAAGACCGACTATTTCTGTTGGGTGATTTCAATGAGCGCGTTGGGCGTAATGCATCGGTGTGGACAGATGTTATCGGTTCGCATGGCATTGGTTCAGCGAATGCGAACGGTGACAGGCTGCTGTCACTGTGTGTCATTCATGGCCTGACGATCACAAACACTCGGTTTGCACTGAGTGCGAGTGATATAGCAACTTGGACGCACCCATGGAGTGGTCACGCTCACTTGCTCGACTATGTCATCGAGCGTCAGCGTGAAATGCGTGAAGTGCACATGACACGTGTACTGCGTGGAGCTGAGTGTGGCACTGATCACAAATTGGTACACACCAAACTGTACATATATTTTCGTAAATCTATGTATTGCACTCCCGCTGTGAATCAGCGTAAATTTAACATTCGCTCTCTCGGTACTGTGGCCAAACGTACTGAGCTGGAGAAGGCGATGGCCGCACGCCTGTGTGATGTGGAAGGCATAGCCACAGTGAGCGATCTGTGGCACCACATTCGCGACCAGGTGACAGCTGCTGCCGAGGAGACCATCGGGCGCACAAACTGTAAGCGGCCTGATTGGTTTGATGACAACAATGCGACGATCGACGCATTAGTGGATGAGGAGAATGCAGCATTTGCTGCACATGCCTCAGACCCCAGTGGCTTGAGGAAGAAGAGTCAGTTTCGCAAACCTCCACGGCGACTGACCCGAGAGATCCGTCGCATAAAAAATGCTTGGTGGACGGAGAAGGTGAAGCAGATGGAACGCTACAGCGAACGCCGCCAACACAAGGAACCCTTTGGCTCCTTGAAGGCGGTGTATGGACCGAGATTGGAGCCGCTGAGTACGCTGATCGATGGTAGTTCAGGCGCTACCTGCACGCAGACTGTAGACATAATGCAGATCTGGCGAAGAGACTTTGACTGTCTCTTGAACAACCGTTCAGAGATCGACTGGAATACATTGAACGGCCTGAAGCAGCACGATGTGAAGATGAGTCTGGAGGACAAGCCGACACTGGATGAGATGCAGAGAGCACTAGCTCAGCTGCGAAACAACAAATGCGCCGGAGCCGACGGGATCCCGCCTGAAGTATTGAAACAAGGCGGACCCGCGTTGTTGACTGCGCTGCACCACTTGGTGCAACGTGTATGGATTGAGGAGGAAGTCTCCTAAGCTGAAGAATGCCATTGTGCTATCACCGGACAAGGGTAAAGGGAGCAAGCAATGTTGCACGAATTATCGTGACATCAACTTGCTGAGTTGTGTGGGTAAGGTGATTGCCCGAATCCTGTCCAACCGCCTCGTCATTAGGTTGTGGAACCTAACGTGGCGGAAAGGCAGTGTAAATTACGTTCGGGTTGCAGAACTATAGATATGGTGTTTGCAGCTCGTCAGTTGCAGGAGAAGTGCCGAGAACGACACCAGCCGTTGTACTCGCTGTTTGTTGATTTCACCAACACATTTGATACGGTGAACCGCGAGGCATTCTGACTGGTGTGAGGTAAGTTTGGTTAGCCGAGCCAAGTTTAATTGAATGTCTGCACAGTGGTATGCGAGCGAGGGTGCAGCTGAGTGGACAGACCACGGATGAGTTTGCAGTTGTCACTGGTGTGAAGCAAGACTGTGTCTTAGCTCCTGCCCTGTTTAATATATATCTTCATGCAATGTTGTCTTGTGTTTTTGATGTGGATTGTGCTTACGGTGTTCGTGTGGAACACCGTATTGATGGTAGGTTGCTGAACATCCGTCGTTTCGGTGCGAGAAGCCCAGTTTGTGAGACAACCATCCGTATGTTGCTGTTTGCTGACGATCGTGCGTTGTTTTCACACAGCGCGGATGAGGTGCAGCACATGACTAGTGCTCTGGCTTCGACAGCGGCCAAATTCGGGCTCACCATCAACACAAGCAAAACTGTCTGTCTCTGTCAGCCTTCACCGGAGGTGTAATCTTCAATATTGCCGCGAATCAGCATTGGTGCCGAAGTATTGGAAACCTCCTCCCACTTCTGCTACCTTGGGAGTGTGATGTCGACTGATCAGCA